CACAGAAAAAAGACGAGAAAAAAATACACTCAAATATTAATACTCTCTGGGAACTTGGATTATGGATGATTTTCTTTATACTTTTTGTACTTCCAAAAGTTTCTGCACTGAGTACATATTAAATTGATCTTAAAAAAAAAGGTTACATTTTCTCTTTTAATGATGTATTTGGACATAATTTTAAACTTTTAAAATAACAGACTCATAGATGTTTACTAAAATCATTTAAAGAGAAATAGATTCAATTCTTCCATTTACAGAATGCAAAAGCATAGAAAAGCCTGAACCTCAACATTTCTCACTGGAATTTTAAGACTGCTGTTCTCTCTTTGGATAGGTATCTCTACTTCGTGGTTCAACAGCTAATTCCCTACTTGCCCTTTGTGGAGATTTATGAGGTGAAGACTCAGATATAGGACTTGGTCCTCTACTAAAAGGCTGACAATTGCTTACTCTGGGTACAACTTTTCCCACCCAGCAAATCCAGCAAGTAATTCCTGTCCTCCCCGGCACATATGTCAAGACATTAGGCTGTGCCCAAGAAGTCCCAATTCTGGCCTAGACCCTAGAGCTCCCCAGTGACTATGTCCATGGGCACAACCTCTGTTTGAACCTACTGTTTTGTTTTTCCAATAAATTATACCTAAAAACATCTATCCAAAAAAAAAAAAAATAAAAAACCAAACCTGTTGCCATCAAATCAATTCCAACTCATAGCAACCCTATAGGACAGAGTAGAACTTCACCATAGAGTTTACAAGGAGAGGCTGGTGGGTTTGGGTTTGAACTGCCGACCTTCTGGTTAGCAGCCATAGCTCTTAACCATTGCGCCACCAAGGCTTCAGTAACATTCATACCTACCTAATAATCTCAAAAATGAAATATCAGGGGTGTGAAAGGGCTTCAGTCTTTGAACAAAAGTTCACAAAAATGTACTAACACAAATTTACATTATTCCCAGTGAGAAGGCCATGAAGGAAAGGCCCTTTAAAATCCACACAATAAGGACCTTGATCCATGTAGCTCAGTATTTGCTTTCACTAAAAACAGACAATTATTCTCATAGCATTTTAATGTGCTGCCACCTTATACTTCTCCAATACTATCTATGATGTCACCCTGTCAAGACCCCACTCCCTTAATACTGACGCCTCTCAAGACCACCGTTTGTTTTAAATTCATTGGTCCTAAAGGATTCTCCATCCTATCAGTTATCCGAGAGTTTCTCAAAAATGCAGTAAATCGAACAAAGACTTGTGTTTGTTTTGGTGCTTTCTTTATAAAAGATCTGTGCAGCTGCACTTACAGGCCTCCAAAATCAACGTAAAACCACCGCTGGAGAAGTTCATAGGTGACCAAGGTAACACCAAACTGGGGAGAGGATCGAAACACTCGAGCTGAAAAAGACAGACAGGGGAGGGCAGGGAGAATTAAGACCAGGATGACTGTGACATGGACAACCAGTGAGTTAGAGGAGCAAGACATGAAAGCCATTCAGCCACCAGCCACGCCGTGTGGGTCCAGCCTCTACCTGCTGTTCCTTTCCAAAACGCGGAGGGCCCTTCCTCCCGGAGTATCTTCCTGAAACAGTCAATAACACCACTATAGGTCGTCTGGCCAGCACGGGCAGCCACTTGCAGTCTTGTCTTGATGACATCAGCAGGGGTCACCAGAGAAGCAGCAGGCACACCTTTCAGGAGAAAGCTACATTTAATTTATCCGAAGTACCTTATCAAGGATAGAAATACTGCTAACATCCAACACCAAAAAAATACAAAACAAAACAAATCCGTTGCTGTAGAGTCCATTCTGATGCATAGGGACCCTACAGCAACTTTAACTTCTTGAGGGAATCTCAAAGTTCCTTAAATCGATGCCTGGGCTCTAATGGAAAAGAGGACATAGAAGCCGATTAGCTGCTTCAGTGAGCGGTCAGGGCAAAATCTTTGTTTTTCCTTCTGAATCAGGAAAATCACTGTACATTGCATGATCTTAGGGAACTGCGAGAGAAAAAAAATAAAGCGATATTAGTAGGACAATTCCCAAACGTACCCCCTTTTAGGTTTTGCTATCAGTTATTTCACCTCCTTTTTTTTTTCTTAAATAAAATGTAAGTATTTTCATGTATAATAAGAAATAAGAGAATAATGTCAATTTAATGAGCTGCTAAATGTATCTTACACAAAACTATACTGTTTTTCATTATTCTTGTCAACCTTAACAAGCCCTGGTGGTGCAGTGGTTAAGCGCTCAGCTACTAACCCAAAGGTCAGCAATTTGAACCCACCGGCTGCCCCACAGGAGAAAGATGTGGCGGTCTGCTTCTGTAAAGATTATAGCCTCGGAAACCCCGTGGGGCAGTCCTACCCGGTCCTATAGGGTCTCTATGACTCAATGCCAACAGGTTTGGTTTTTTTGTTTGTTAGTTTGTCAACCTTACTATGCGAGACAAACACTAACACTCAGAACCACTCACCTGTTTGAGGGCTAACTTGAGAGTTGACTGTGACTCCTTTCAGACATGCTACATGACAGAAGTCATTACAACTGGGGCGAGCAGGCCAGGCGACCAGTTAAGGAACAATAAGTGAGCTGATCATGGAAAGGCCTTATCATCTACCCCCTGTGCCTGAGCTCCCTGGGGCCACGCTGAGATTGGTCAGCAGCAGGACACAGAAAATGGATTTCACAACCACACCTTTTACTTATAAAACAAAACAGGGAACAAAGGAGCAACAGAGCCTTCCCTAGGGGGAAGAAATTCAATTTGGCCCATCACTGTATCATCACCGGGCAGATGGAGCCGGGGGATTGGTGGGAGGCAGAGCTAGAAGATGATGTAAATACCTCCCCGCAGCACAGCCCTGCATCCCATTCAGAGGAAACTAGGTAAATTGCCTGCCTTTGAAGGCAGGATTCTGAATGTTCTCACTCAGTGACTGCCAGCAAAGCTTTACTGGTAAAAATTAGAAAAACTCATCTCTCATTCTGAAAACTGACATCAAACGTCTGTGGGCAAGAAGTTGGTGCTGACAGTTCCATGGAAATGTTTATTTGGTTCATTCAGCCACTGGCAAAATGCCTGTCTACGATTAGACTGCTCTTCTCTGGCTGCTTCCAGCTGCTGACGGGAAAGCAAAGGGAAAAGCTTGAGAGGAAATGCTGCCCCTTTAAACTGGGAGACTTTGATGAGCACCAGAGAGGGGCTGGGCAAGCACTCAGTACCAAGGACTGAGGAGATAACATTTGCCCCAGGGTGGTGTAAATGTTTAACATGCTGGGCTGTTAACTGAAAGGTTAGAGGTTCAAGTCTACCCAGAGGCACCTTGAAAGAAAGGCCTGGCGATCTGCTTCCAAAAACTCTGCCATTGAAAATCCTATGGAGCGCAGTTCTACTCTGACACACATGGGGTCACCATGAGCTGGAATCGACCCAACAGCAACTGGTGGTGGTGGTGGCCTTAAATGTGCAACTAACTGAAATTAGAGATGCAGAGGATGCAGGATAAGCGATCAAAGCCCCCTAGGATAGTTTCTTAATCATCACAAGTCATTCTCTGTCCCCTCAGGTTCACTGCCCAGGTGAGAAAGACAACACAGTGCTCCCCAACATCATCACCCACCACACACGCCACACACATCGCTACACCCCGCCACACGCCACACATCACACTTCAGGAAGTGCGCAGGCTCTGCTGCTGGGTTTAGTCAGGGCCACCAGAGGAGAAAGAGCCCAGAAAGTTACAGCCACACAGTGAACACAAGCCTAGCTGGTCAGAGTTGTGGTGAGCATTTGGGAACGAGTCTTTGAGTATTGTTCTCACCCTTCACATTTCATCCCTGACTGGCAGTAACGGAAAGCAAACACATGCTCCTTCCTTCCTCTGTCACTTCTGAGGGCTGGTGCGGCTGAGGGTGCCTGGCTCTCCCTTCTATCCCGGGTTAGCTCCTTCATGACTCAGGAGGAGGCCATCCCCACAGGGTCAGAGGAAGCATCTTAGTACCCCTTTGCATTTGTTAGGTTCTTCTTTCAAGGTATCTTTTTGGTTGGGAATCTTTCCTATGCCTAATTTGGTATCTTAGACTACATGAAAGTTTTCATTTATTCCATTGGCATTTATTGAGCACCTACTGTTACTATGTCCCTGGGTGGCATAAACAGTTTGTGCTCAACTACTAACTGAAAGGTTGGTGGTTTGAACCCACTCGGTGGCAGCGGAGAAGACAGGCAACATGGAAGACAGCCCCGTGGAGCACAGTTCTACTCTGTAACACATGGGGTTGCCATGAATTAGAATCGACTCAATGGCAACAGGTTTAGTTTTTGTTATTATTACTATACTGGCCACGGTAGGGAAGGCAAGGATGAACAGAATGAGCTTCCAGCCTAGCACAGCGGATACAACTTAAGCAAAGTACCTTTACACAAAGTGTTAGGGTCAGAAGCGATGCAAATCGAGTTCAGGGTGGTTTGATTGGGGTGGGGGGCGGGGGGGTGCTGCTTACTTTGGTCCACTGAGGGGAATGGTAGCAGGAACAGGAATAGTTTCATGAAGAATGCTCAGTTTTGAGCCGAATTGTGTAGATTCCAATATACAGAGATAGAAAGGGACGCATGCTAGACCTGTGCATCAGCATGAGGTACAGCAAAGCAACTTATGTCATGAAGAACTTTTCCACCTTAATGCTTGGTTGGGCTTCACCCAAGGTTTCAGGGGCACAGGAGGCTAAGAAACACGTTAATGATGAAAGCCCAATTTAGATGGGCAGATCTAATTTGGCTCCGAGTTGCTAAGCTGCATTAAGCTGTTTATCCACATTATGCAAATGTAATTAACTCTCATCTGAATTACTGCACATCCCACAAAGGAGAAAAAGTGATCATATTTAAACTAAGTCAGATACCAACAATAATCCTTCCAGAAATAAAGGGGGAAAGTACCCGGAGACTCTGTGCTTCTTAAGAATAGGGGAGGGTTCTCTTTGTTAATATTAAAAAAAAAAAAAAAAAAACTGTAGTTACCTGCCAGAGCTCCAGCTGCAAGGAGATTTAAACCTCCCACGTGTCCGTTTTCATCAGCCAGGAGTAGCTTGCAATGAGCATAAACAGGAAAATAGATTGCAGAGAAGGGAATGTCTCGGAGGAAACACGCTTTGGCACCCTGTCACACAATGAGGAAATAGTGCAAAACAGTTGTGTAAACAGAGTAAATGCTCAAGTGGGATCCAGGGGCTCTGGGTGACAAGCCAGGCATCCCTCAAACAGCATTGGGACTGGTGTGGAAGGGAAGTGGGGGCTAGCGGGGACTAGGGGACTATGCACGGCCCAAGGTTTGAGAGGATGGTGGGTCCTGGAGTCCTGAGGTTAATAACTGGGTAATGATTTATTCTTACAACTCACACTTTTCTGGAAATTCCATTATAGATTTGATTTTTAATGTAAATAAAAATTCAGTTCTCAAACTACAGGTTGCTAGTTCTGTTTGGCTTTGGTGGGGGCCGCAAATACACTTGAAACCCCAAGATTAACAGCTTGATTCCCAAACAACTAGTAAAGTCAGCCAAAAAGGACTAATGAATGACCAATTCAATCCATGTCAGGTTAGAGTCCTCGCAGTGCCAGGGAAAAAGCTACAGGCAGTGGTGGTGGAGAGGGAGGGTAACTATTTTGGGAAGGGAAAACCACAAACCTTCTTTCCTCACTCCCTGTGTCCTAAATAGGAGAGGGTAGGAAAAAATCAGACAAAATATTTTAGCAGGAGGTTCCCACGGAAGAGAAAACCACGCAGGGACAGCTGTCTCAGTGACTGAGGTCTCAGAAACACCTTCCTCAGCTTTGTCAGTAACCCACACTAGTCCACTGCCCAGGGCTCTGCTGAGCAGGAGAATAGGCCATCTGTGGCACTTCCTTTCCTAACAGCTCTGTTTTTAAAAGGCAAACTCAAACATCCAAAAAAAAAAAAAAAAAAAAATCCAGGGACTCTCTAGAACATGATACAGAGAGAAACAATATTATTAAATTCAGCTCTCAAAGGGAATTCCAGAAAGGATAGAAGTTGAGGGAGGGGGTCAAAACCATGTCTAAAACTCTCTGGAGAGAGACATCATTGGTTTACTGGTTTCCAAAGAGCCCTGTAGCTGGGTGACTCTAATCTACAGAATTTCTAATTTGTAGCTACAGAGGCAAATTTACACATTACTGCTGTGATGGATCTATAAAGAAATCAGATGCTTTGGAAACACAGTTGCCTATAGCGGCTACATTTAGGTATTCCCCACCTTATAACAGGCGAAGGAATGGAAAGAAATACTCTTCCTTGTTTAAGAAAAATAATAGCTTCTGCGCCATTACATCTAATCTGTAATGATGGGAGTAAGTATACCTGCAGGGAAGGACTCTGTTGACTGGCATTTTGCTAAAATACAGTACAGTCTTTTTTTTTTAATGGAATTCATTATTGACAAATCCCACCACTTAACTTCTTAAAGACCTGAATCCTACCAAACTATACTACTGTTTCGCTGTGGTCAAATTATTAAGACAAAGAAAAGCTCGTACTGGGAAGATAACAATAGAGGTAACTCAGACTCAAAATAAACATAAGACTATTTTGAAGTCCCAAACCAGCCCAAAGAAACTTTATGAACTCCCATCAAATGAAAAAGGCCTCCAGCCTGAGGCCAGCTGGGCTGTGGGGCTGGCCTCCTGCCGGCACTCCACAAAAGCCAAAAGACAACAGGAAGGCATGTTCGCATCTCGGTTTTTCCTTTTTGTTTAATTTTCTACTCCAGGAACTACCCTGCTAGACAAGACTGCTTTTCAATTTGGGGGATAGGCACTAGTTTCCACATTCTTTCACATTTACATCAAGTAGGTTACAAGCTGTCTACCGAGAAAGCCCATGGAATCTACCTACCTTATACAGACCAAAAAGGCCCAGGTCCCGGAGCACACTCAGGGCGCTGACTCTGGGTCCTGTGGTGATCTCTCCAGCCACCTGCAGGCGAATCTTCACTATCTCCAGCGGGTTAGTAAAGATGACCTGGGAGCCTCCAGCCTGCAGACAAGGGAGGAGAGACAGGCACTTTTCTACATCAGAGCCAAGTGTCAGTGTCAACAAGAAAAATCTAGAAAAGCCTCCACATTTTACCACCTATACACCTTCCTCTTCACAGGGAATGAGAGTTGGGTGCTCTGGCAGATACTCTGTCAGGCCAGTCTGTCTGGGTTTGTTTCTATTTGAAATGTCAAGAGTGTTTCTCAGAGCAGTCTTTGGAGGGCAACCCCAACCACATCAAACTAGCTAAACTAATACACTCATTTGGAAAACAAAAGCGAAGCCAGATGTTGCAGTGGGGAGCTCCCCCAACGAAAAGGAAAGAGATGGTAGAAGACTGGTATAAAGATACAAGCTGAAACCTAAAATTCCTATCTACAAGTGTTTCTCCTTAGCTCAGCCGCTCGCTTCCCCCTTGTTGGGTTGGGGGTTTGGTCCCACAGAGGTGCCTGAAGTCAGAGGGGCAAAGTCTCTGGCTCAAATCCTAAAACACACTAACCTGAGCAGAGCTCTGAGACAGGTACACAGCTACACCCACACAAAAGGAGAGAACTTAGAAAGGCAAATCTCAGTATCATTTCAAGGCAAAATCAGAAAAACTCTTCCAGATAGAGCTTGGAAATGGAGTCTCTAGCTACCATGAGTACAACACCCTCCAATCAAAGCCACATTCCACACTTTCCAGTGGTGAGTGACAGAGATCTGAATGTGGATAATGAGAGTGTATTTGCATCTGAAGTCTGTTAACTAGTAGAGAGAGAAAAAAAGAGAATGTTTAACAGAACTGCGACTCCGTTTTTTTTGTTTCTGTAAGAAAAAAATGTGTATGTATATATGTGTATAACTATGAAAATATATATATATATTCATTCGTGAAGTGGAAAGCCCCCATTTGCAAATCTTCATCTCAAACTGTAGCTGTTTACATCATATAATTATAGCCACATGCATATTACGAATTTTTAGAAAAAAATTCTAGAAAAAATAAAGATTGCTATTTGTCTATAACTTTAAATATTTATAACACTTAAGAGGAGACCTAGTTGGCAAATGTGCACGGTCCTTTTTATGTTCTGAGGTTGATTACTACCTCATACAGAAAATCTAAGATTAGTTCATATATTAATAGTAGTTCAAATTAATATAATGATATTATATAATAACTGCATATCATATGTATATCACATATGTGAAATGTATGCTTCATTGGGGCACCGCAATTCCACAGGTAGAGAAAGACCATCAAAAATACACATAAAATTGTGTGAAACATTCCATGGTGCTTGAATACTCTCCTTCCCCCACATTCACGTTCATTTTTCTAAAACCCACAGCCCTCCCAGATCCCCTTCCAAAAGGATGGCGACAACATATCACAGCCCATTCTCCTAACTGTCCTGGGGCTATAAGCCCCCTAACTACTCCTGTTCCAATCCTGACCCCAACTCCTACCAACATCCAGGATTGCCAACACCGACACTAGATTTCTTTCCTCTTCGTGAGAAGCCTATTGTTCCAGATTCCCCAGGGCCGCAATCCCTTTTGGTCCACCAAGCAGGGAGATGCAGCGTTTGCTGTCTCTCTCAGTTTTCTGCAACTCCCCAACTCGACACAACCCAGACCACTGGCATACAGGTCCCTGAACAACATACTGACCCAATTTTACATGCTGATTTGCCTTCGTTTCTCTGTTAATCGGCTGCACTGCAGGCAGGAGGAAGCATTTCAATGTTTCAATCTAAGCAAACAACACTTTCAAAAGGATTGCTGGGTGACAAATTACGTTAAAATGATAATCCAAGTAATTGCTCCTGTAGCTTGTATCAAAGACCTAAACCAACTGAAAAAGTTTACGACTTTCCTGAAATCCCTTGTTTAAATAATAGTTGCAAAGACCATCTTTGGGAAAAATGCACTTTATGTTCTAAAGCAGATTAAAAAAAGAAAAAAAGAACAGAAGCATAAATTTTTATTATAATTCCAAAAACTTGCCACCACCAGATGATGTCAGTCCCTGGTGGACATTATGTTTAAACAAATATGAAATTCTTTCATGTTTTTAATCATGAGTGAATTGTGACATCCTGCAAAGCAGAGAGCACTCCAACCTGCCTCCCCTCACTCCACAGCCCCCTCCTCGCTTCTGCTCCCACAGACCCTTTGGAAATAATTGCCATTTTATTGAGATTTGCACTCCTCTAACAATTCTTCAAGTTTCTTTCTGAGTATACAAGTAATAGGCTTTCTACTAAAATTCAATACTGAAATGGTACAATTAAGAAAAGGAAACGACTGTATTTTAAAACATGTACACATTAACACGCACACATTAATTGTTCACCATAATACTAAGTCCCAACAATGCACTGGACATAACCATAAAACTAGATTGATATACACTAATGACTTTTAAATATATACTCTAGCTTGTGTGTGTGTGTGTGTGTGTGTGTGTGTGTGTGTGT